AACGTCGGGTGATCCGAGCCTTGTTACTCATCTCAACTAACATAATACCAGAACGACAGGTACACGACACCTTCGGCCACTTGACGACCACTTCTCCGAGCGGTTGACGAGATAAAGGTCAACGTCCACCACACCTTCGTCGAGAATCTCGGCGGATACCCGAGCGATCTAGAACACCCAATCGTTACCAGGACTCCGGTAGGCGTTCAAGTTCACCACCTCTTGAGCCACAGCTGAAGGCGTTGAAGCAGGTAGCACAGAATCATAGTCCTGATATCGGACCAGTTGGTCGGCCGCACACTTAATCCGGTTCTCCAATGTGACCAACGCCGATTAACGTTCACTGACACTAGTGATAGAGTAGGGGCCTTCCACAGTCGGATGGAACGTACTCAACATTCCGTAAGTGGCGGCATGCTTGTGGTAGAGTACTCGATCTCCTACTCGGAAGGTAGATGCTCGACGGTGGTGATTCATACCGAGTCGGTGGAAGACGTTGTTCTCCCGATAGATGGTCAGGGTACTGTCGATGTTGGTCTTCAAATCCCGTAAGAATCCACTGGGATCGTCCTTACAGGGCTTCTGGAAACCCTCTTCGTGGCGGAGACTGTTCAGGTTGCCCCAATCGTCATGGGAGATCTGACCAAATACCAACTGATAGGGGCTGATCTTGTCACGGAAGATTGGTGACCGGTTGTGCACTCGGGCTGCGACGGACAACGCCTCGGGCCACGAGGCTGACCCAGATTGAGCAATAGCCTGCCGAGCATACCGCTTAATCTCCTGACGAGCACGCTTGCATTTGCCCTCCATTAACGGAGGACTATCAATTCATAGTTCATTACAAGTGATGTTGTGCATCCGTGACGTTTATAGCCTTCAAATTCCAGAATTTTCGATATTTCACAATCTTGGACAAATTGAATTGAATCGCTCAATTTAAGCGCCTTAACTTAAGCTGTTATAATTCCATCATACACGCTTTACAAACACACCGTCACGTTCATCGACTCAGAGATCCCCGAAACTAACAACTCAACCACTCATACACATCTACCTTTAGAAATGTAGGTAAATTGGTGTACTAGTGAAGACAAGGGCGACCTCAGACGAAACCTTCTTAAAATTATTCAACTCCAGGGACCATAGTCGGCAGTGTTGGACACCAAATCGGCTAACACTTTGTGCATACCACACAATTGCTGCAGCCGATATCAGACTAGAGTCGGGAACAACAGATCCCAGGTAACTGACCTCACATCGCACAGATACCCCCTCGCCACATAATACACAGGCACAAGATATTGACTAGCAGCCTGATCACATTCAATAACATAAATCCTTCTCATTTGTATGGCACATGAATAGAATAAAATCAACATGATATTCATACAGCACTTCTCAGTTGAGACACAACCGAAGCGCTGATGACTGTTACAGATGAATCAAGTGGAGAGACACACCATAACATCTCTCGAGGATGCGCAAGGCATTAAAGATGAACATGGACTTCCAAGTTCATAACAATGTCACATGGTTATACATCAAAACAGTCAGTCATTTGACTATAACAGATGGAAGTTCTGATAAGACATAACCAACTGTTAAGTTCGGTTACTTATAGAATATTAATAGGATAAATCACGTTACATACAGTAGTTTGTGTAGATGAATAGTAACAATAACTATTGACCCAAACCGATATTAGCACAAAGGCCAAACACGCTGCCGCACAAAATACCAAAGATCAAAGCGAAGGCCATGGTATACCCTGCAACCTCTTGCTCGGCCTTATCCTGACTTACACGAGAAGGACCCTTTACCATCGAAATGGTACAGCCCATCCCATTAGTCAAAGCAAAGAGAGCCATGTCCACATGCTTGAACCAATCCCAATAGAAAGGCTTAACAGTAGGATAGAGACTCGTGCAAATGAATAACGGGATGAAGATACTTCTCCCAAGTACGAAGCACGCAAGGAGCAAGTTCGGCATGGAGATACCAAAGCTAGGTAAGAATCGTCCAACAGTATCGACCACTTGGAAAGTATAGATGACCTGCGGCACAACCCATCATTGTTAGGATTCTGGGATTGCCACAAGACAACTTGAGCAGGGAAAACGACAAAGGTGACGCCCAGAC